TTAAGCTCATGAAACAGACACAAGGAACCCATCACACTCACCCAAGGAGAAGAAAAGAAAACTTAACATGCCAGAACCGCAGTTCATCCCTTCGGCGTCTAATTTTACATTTGGCATGTTCGATATGCATTTTATCAAAACATTGGAAGTTTGCCTGTCTCACATGTTAAACTGAGCTCTCTGGGGACAGGTTTTAACAATTTGATTATTGATAAAGAACAAGGATATTATTGTTCAAAAGATATTTGATGTATAGTCATATATCCTCTCCAGTTGGAAAGGAAGGGGCATGAAAGTTTAGAATGATAAACGTCTATGGAAATTGATTTTATGGCTGAGGTGGGGAAGAAAGCAGGATATAGGATAGTTCTCAGGTTTGTGGCTTAGAAAACCAAAATGGAAGATACTGCTATTTACTGAGACAAAAATTTGAGACATTCTAAAGATACGTGAGTTTAGACCAGCATATACTGGATGTGAGCTATCTTTGGGGTACTCAAGGAGAGGTGTATAGCAATCATTGGTTGTGGAGGAAGCAATAGAAGCTTAACATTTAGGATTTCCGTCTTCAGAGTTAAAGTGAGTTGCACTTCATGCCAGCTCACCAGCTAGGTCAGCTTCATGACCTTAGGAAAATAACTTACTATCTTAAAATCTTCTGTTTATTATTAGTAAGAAGGCTTTAAAATATCTAGCTTAGTAATTGTTTCAAAGATTACGAAAATCTGAAATATAATTTTTGTATGGTCTACCTTCCCAACTGAATTTTCTGTTCTTTAAGGATAGAGACTACATCTCTTTTAATTCTATATCTTAGTACCTAGAACTGTGCCTGGGACATAGTAAGAATTCAGTACATACTGAGTCAGTTGAATGGTCAAATGTAACCCTTGTGTAGTAGGTGCTGAGCAAACAGTGAATATAATTATCATATGACACTGGAGCTTAGCAAAGAGGGCCAGGGAAGGTAATTGTTCATATAGTTGATTCTATGTATGGGTTAGCATAGACCATTCTATAGTGTTTGTACACCAAACTCAGGATGTTCCTGAGAAATAAAAATTTTAAGGAGTAACAACTGAAAGGAGAGGAATCTGCTGTCATGACATTCAACTTTGCCCAGTTGTTCTAAGTTCATCAAATCTAAAAGTGTTAATATCACAAATTATTCCTGGAGATGCTCCTTCCTTCATCCGTTAACACCAGATTCAGTGCGGTGAATTCTCCTTTGATTCAACCAAGGGTAGGTCCCACCTGAAACTGGACATTCCTCCTTCAGGCTGCCTGCTGCTCATCTGTCTTCTGAGTTGCAGAGTTCCAACGACAGCATTCAAGAGTGCCATTGGCTTTAGTGGGGGTAACTTAGAACACAGACATGAGCAGCTGTTCTTTCCATGCATTCCTGTATATAACAAGCTGTAGGTGTTCCTTCTATTTGGATACAGCTCACAACTTACTTCTGTGCTGCTGCTGTTAAAACAGGAGACAACCTTGACATCTTCCGATGGGAAAATCTGATTTGTTTTAGGCTATTCTGGATTAACGTTTTTAATTAGACTCAGAGAAGGTGACAGCATTGTGGGTGGGTGAAGTTGCCTTCCTGCCAGCTGAGTGTTTCTCCTTTTTGCCTGTGTGGAAGAGAAGGTTGTACTTTGCTTTTTAACACTTCATGACAGATTCTTTCTCAGGTTTTCTGTCAACAGCTGGCCATTTGGTGTATACTCATGTATTTTTTCAATCAGATGACAGAAATGTTTTAAGGGGCTTCTCCAATCACAACCAAAATAGTTTTTCTAAATATCTGATACTAGCAACAATAACAATTTTTCATCATTTTAAGTTTCTATTATATTCAGAACATGAAGAAGGAAGGGAAGGGCAGAAGGGAGGTCTGTTAAGGAGTTGCTTATTGTGACCTAAGTAAAACACAGGGATGGCCTGCATTAAACAGGTACAGTGAGATTGGAGAGAAATGAAAGAACTTAAATATGTAAGGAGCTATAAATTATGTGACTTGGTGCTAGATTTGTGTCTTTATAAAAAGAGACACTAGAGATCATGCTTCGTATCTCTCTCTCCACCCTGTGGAAAGATGACAGTGTGGATGTGGATGACCATGTGGAAATATAAGGAGATGACAGTCATCTCCAAACCAGGAGAAGGTCCTTCACTAGATGCCAAATCTGCTGCCAACTTGATCGTTGCACCAGAATGTGAGAAATAAATTTTCTGTTTATGACACCCAGTGTATTGTATTTTTGTTATAGTATCCCAAACTGACTAAAATACAGTCTATGCAGATATTTTACTGTTAGAGGATACATGTCAGAACTCTGAAGAATACTGAGCCTTAATGAATGATAGAAGCTCATTTCTCTTTAAAGAACTAAACTGAAAAATTAAAAGTAACCTTGGGTTTAGTACTGAAGAGCTAATTGATTGCCTTGATACGGGAAAATTGCATGGACTATTGGCAATGAATTGAGTTTCTAACAGATAACATGGCTTCTATCATAATCTATTTTGGAATGGCCATTGCCTTTTATGCCAGTTAAAAATAGTTGTTTCTCTCTCCACAATTGCTCACCATTTATACTTTAAGTACAGAGCTCTTACCAAATTGATTCCTAAGGAAATATATTTTCCTCCAGGACAGATCTTCTAAAAATGCTAACTATATTTTCACCTGTGACTGTTTTTTTCCTTCTGATTTGTGCATTCATTTTCCATCAGTTCTATTTGACTCGTGGGTTTTATGTCTAATAAGTTTGGTAGAAAGAGAAGAGTCCAAGCTGATCTATAAATTACTTGTTCATTGTCATGGTTTCTGAAACTTTGAGTTGCAGTGTCACAGATAGCTTTGACTCCAGAAGCTCAGTGTTTTTCTGTCTAAATTTTCATGCTCACATAAGTGTAGGCTACATAAATATATCCCAAATATACATAAATATATCCCAAATTGTTTAACCTTAAAACAGAGAAATGGAAAGAAGGACTAGCAACACCATGCCAGTCACATCTGAACCAACCAACCAAACAAACAAAAAAACACTTCAGTAATCCAGACCTTTAAAACTTCCATCATTTACACAACCAGGCTGAGAACAAACTCATCACCAAATGTCCTATGAATGCAGCTGGAGAAACTGATGCAAGGAATAATGAGATCTATATCAAAGAGGTAACAAAGCATGGCAAAATCATCAAGGCAGAGATTTACTGGCAAAGATCACCAAAAAGCAATAATCTCTTTCTTGATATGCAGCAGGTGTGCATATTGGAGAGGAATTAAGTCATCTTCTGATGCCAGGAAAGGGCCTGGCCCCTACAGTGCTACAAGCGAGTGCTGACTTCCCTTAGCTCCCTGGAATATTGCTAAATTGAATTTGGACTGCCATTGTAGCAGATAGAGCCTGAATTATTTGGAAAACTTCAATTATTGTGGGCATACCATGGGGCTTGAAGAAGAGATTATTTGGCTCTTAATGTTGTAAATTTAATTTTATTTGTGAACACCTGCTAAAGGACTAACTAAATCATTTGCCAGTGTGAAATACATCACACTGAAAGTTGATTTTATATTTATCCTCATGGATCCATACTCCTTAAGAAGTCTGCCTCAGTCTACAGAGTCTGAAATGAATTTCGTAAAGGTTTTTACAATAGTTGAATCTTTCCAAGCTAAAGAGAATTACTGAGTATTTTCAGGTTAATCATACTAGTCAGAGTATTGATTAAAATGAAGAGTTTTTAGGGGTTTTTTGGTACAATTGTCTCCCTTTTTAAATGTCTTCATTATAAAAGTATAATGTGCAATCATCACACTTTCACCAAAGAAGTCCTGGATGCATCCTCCCGACAGTCTCTACAAACGGGGCTGATAATAGGTAGGGAACCAACTGTCCTCCTACTTCAAAAAGTAGACAGAATTAGGGCAGACATAGTTTCAAGACATATAAATTGAAGATTTAATAACTTTTTGTTGCTGTTTGAAAGAAAAATACAGTTTCTACTTTATGTTTTTTGACATTTTCCTAAAGTAAAAAATTAGAGAAATTATTAATATGTACATCAATTAATATGTGTATTTAAAATCTATTGGAGTAAAGAAAAAAATTGATTCATACCTCTGGTACCCTTAGTAATACAAATGAACTTTGAAAAAATATTTACATTTTAAATACACAGTGGAAAACCCCATAATCTACCAAATTATTTTACAAAATGAAGATAATGAATGTAAATCCAAGTTAGTATTGTCACTAAAGTTTAACTTACTTTGGGATACAAATGACAATAAAATATGTTTTGGGAATAAAACAAGGAAATATATTTCTAAGTTGAAAGTGATCTTTTAAATCATCATTTTGGGAATATAGATTGTTTGGTGATACTTCTTCGGAAATGTCTCCGAATCAGCCTACATTATAAAAATTCAGATTTTATAATGTAGCATTAATGTGGAACCCTAACCTGTATTATCAAGATTTATCATATTATTCATTGAATTTGAGAAAATCCTGTTTATTGATTTAAGCCTACTTTACTCTCCAAGTACCGTATCCAGGGTGACCTAATTGCATAATTCAGAAAATTTGCACCTCTCCTTTCCCCATGACCCTCCTTAAAAAATGTCCAGACTTCAAATTTCACAGGCCAAGTACATCAAACCTAACTCAAAGCAAATCAGGATTAGAATTCGTTTTCGAGCAGTGTAACATAAAGCAATGGGACACTGGAGCAGGACTCCCATGTGGCGGCATTTCTCAAAGTTCAGTAGAAGGGTAGCAACAATTCCAGGAGCTCTACCTACCTTGATGCCAACATGTATGCATGTCTGTCTTCACAATTAATTAGTGTTTAAGCTTAAGGGTATAGATCATGTTTCATTGAACGTGTATCTTTCATGTAATCTGGAAGGTTTTTTTTTTTTTATGTGGTTACGTTTATTTTTAAAACCTTGGGGCATATCAGAATTCACATAGATCTAAGGACGAGGCACAGAGAGAAAGAGATAGGTGGGAAGGTTGGGTCACATCTTATAAATGTACACGGCTGCTTTTTCTAGGCAACCCACATAAGCAACAATTGCTTTCCTGAAAGAGTTATGCTATTTGTAGTTGCTACTGTCACAGTTTAACAAGGAGAGGGAGCTCTTAGAAGATTCTCTAAATTTGTTGCAAGAAAGTCACAGAAAGCTACCTTTCAATGTCTGTTTGCTATAGCTGAAGGGAAGACTGGTGGTAAACTGACCAACAACCAAAATGAAATATGGATAAACTGAGAGCAAGTAAACAATAGGAGTTAAGAAGATGAGGATGTACGTGCCAAAGGGAGAGGGTAGAGAAACGATTTCTAGCATTCTAGGAGCTCCTGATTTCCACGATTGGACAAAATTGGGAACTACTAAGAAGGTGTGGAGCTACTCACCACCTTCATCAGGTTAGAGTTCTTTATACCATGCAAGTTGTGCTAAGATGGAAATAAAAGCATGAATCGTTTATGTTTAAGTAACTTCAAGCAGAAAGCAGAGATTTAAAATGTTCATGAAGAGAAAGAAGTGGAAATATCTACTGGAGAGTCAAGTGGCACTGACAGTGATTGAAATATGACCAGGTTTTCAGTTTTCAATTTCTGAAAGGAGAAGAGGGAGTTTCTCGAGGAAAATATTTGGAATAAAGAAAGGAAAAAAAGTGCACAACTCTCCCTTAGAAAAGCCTGGTAATGAAGTGCTCGAGTTTTATCTTTATTATTTGCCACCAAACTCCTTAATTGAATTAGAATACTTACTGAGTTTCAAAACTTTTTATTTTAAATTAAATGTTACACATTATTTTCTTATCCTTTCACCTTTCTCTTATTTTCAAAACCAATGTTTTTATTCTTTTATAGAAAAACTGGGCTCATTTTAGCTTCTGTAACTCTGTTAAAGCAGGCTGAAAATGGATTATGTTGAAGATGTTTATTCATGAACAACCAAATATCCCATTCTTTGCTGAAATTACAGCTTTAGTTAATTAATTATATTGTAGGCATTTACACTTCTGTGGGAGGAGCACAATAGCACAAGTTGCTTACAGGAACAGCTTCAAGAATATCCTGCTCGTAATACTCACACATTATAAGGATGTCAACCATTTAAAATGTGTTTCTTTTTACTCATGTTAATTTGCTGACTTCTTTTGCTTATCTCTCTGGAATCTTGGCCAATGTATAGCTAAATGACCAAGAGTTCTCACCACAAATATTGAATGAAATAGTTCTTTCTGAAAACTTGTTTCCTAAGCTTTTAGTTTCCAGTGTCTCTCTGAATTCCTCATGCTCTACCTTTGAAACATTCTCTTGTTTTCAGTTTACGTCAACAACTCACCTTGCCTAATCAATCTCTCGTCTCTTCTGTTGCAGAAGCTGTCATAATGGAAATGGTGGATTTAAGATTCAGGATTTACCTTCCAATTCCATATGCTCTTTGACCACATCCTAAGAAAGCTGTGAGATTTCAGTATCCCACTTTTAAGCATTTGTTGTAAACAAGTCTGGCAGATGGCCACAACACCTGGGACAATTAAGCCCAAGGGATGGTTGAGTAGTTTCTAAGGCAAGCAGAATCTTCCATCTGCTCAAATGGCACTTTCGGGGTTTAAGCAAACCAGTGTTGGCTACTCAGGGTTGATTCCCCTCACAAGCCTACTCTTCTGTCTTCAAATACTTACTGGCTGCCCCTCTAAAAAGTAGAGAAAACAGGAAAGTAAATATTTACTCTATTTCACAGCTGTCTAACTGTTGTAAAATGGATAACTTAGCTCTGCTGGGTTTATCCTTAAGAAACAAGATCAAACAGTTTTCATGAAATTCCGCTCACATTTTAAATGCATGACTTATTTTGGTTTATTCTGTTCTAGAATATTCCAAAGCCAGAATTAAATGCTAAAGAATCAGTTTGGCCATTTAAAAGATATTGGTGCACTATGTAACAGATTGTGGCTACCAACATTCTGAGTCAGTCTTTCCCCTCCAAATGCCCTGCCTTCCCGTACACACATCGAGCCCACTAATTAATTTTGTATGATGAAATATTGCCAGATCGGTATGAGGAAATATATTATTTGGAATCTAGGTTGTTATTTTGAAGGTTTATTTCTTATGGTAAAAACACAAGAACATTTTCACAGAATGTGCAAGGTTTTTTTGTTTGCTCGTTTCTGTTTGAGAATGCACAGTAAGTTGGCTGGTACAAGGAAGCTCCTACATCCCTGCAAACTTCAGTCAAATTGCCATGTGAAGTCATTGCCAAGTTTTCAAAATTGAGTCTGGACTGCTATTCCAATTCACCACCGTTCCGCCTCCATAGCAGATGGTGTTCGCTTATGCAGAGGACACAGATGAAGCGGCGTGGTGGAGGTATCATTCCACTGCTAAGGTTTCGAATTTTCTTGCTCTCAAGAACTCGATGCCAAAGAGTAACAATTTCTTGATCTTCACTCTCTGTCGTCAGCTAGTGTCCGTCTTTTTCCCCCATTTCCTCCATTCCACCCCACTCTCCAGCATCACTTCCCGGTCGCAACTCTTCCCCTTCTGAACTATTTTTTTGCAAGCACATTGATGTTTTGCTGATAATTCCTGAATATGCATTTTCAGTCCTGAACCTCAGTGCCTATCTGACTTTCATATGTGGGCAACCTTATGGTATAACTGGAAGAATCTCCCAAATACTGAGGCTTTTCGAAACCTGTCAAAAAGTTGAAGAACAAGAGTTTGGCTCTTGGACTCAGATCAGACTCAGATTTGATCTTAACTCTGCCACTTGCTATCAGTGTAGCATTGGGGCATATATTTGACCTATGCTATTTGTAAAATGGAAATAAGTATTCCTTGGAAACCTCACAGTGTTTGGAGAAATAAATGAAACTGAATTTATGTTTGGTATAGTAAGTGATACATGATTATGCTCTTCTCACTGCCAATTTCCTGAGAGTCATAAGCTTCCAACATTAGAATTACTGTCTTTGCTCCTTTACCTTCCAAATCAAATCCATCATCATATTCTATTTATTTTGATGCCCCTTTATTTTCTGCATCCATGGCTACAAGCTCGGTCCAGAACATCGCCTCAAATCTATATTTTGTATTTAAATTTATTTACATTTTTCTATTCCTTTAACATAATTAAATTTTCTTTCAATTTTGCAAACATGATTTAAATTCAACTGTGTGCCATAGAGATTGCTAGGCCATGTTTTCCTTAGAGTTGCTTGACTCCTGTGTAAAGCACTGCTATTTAAGGCTTGGGCTCTGGAACCAGACTTGAGTTAAAATGCCACCTCAATAACTTATTAGTTATGTAACTTTTAATAACTTACTAATGTCTCTATCTCAGCTGCATCGTCTCTAACAAGGATATAATAACAGTATCTTATCTCGTAATAGTGGTTATAAGAAAAAAAGGACATAATGAATATAAACCTGCTTAATACATAGAAAGCACTTGTAATTTTGTTAATCATTATTATCCTCAAATATTTCTTTCAGCATCAGCCTCCCATTTTGAACACCCACAATGACAAGCTTTTCATTTTATATCAAAATGAAGCTTCTGCATTTTAGTTCTTTATTAACTTCCTTTTAACTGATTCACAATAAGTTCTTTGATACATGCCTACATCCACACATTCAGCCTGCACATCTATTCACTTATTTTCCTCTCCTTCATGGTCCTGAGGCCCCTAGTCATCTGTGTGATCTCTCTACAATATGAATTCTCTGATTCAGTAAACCATAATATTTATCCACGTTGTTTCACTTTCATTTAATGTACCTTCAGATTCAGTGCATTTCCCCAAATCATTCCCACTTTTTCTTCTAATTTCAAGTATACTGCTTAGAACTCCTTTTCAAGAATCTTTTCCTTTCTACCTGCTTCTAAACAAATCATTCTTGCATTCCCTCCGTCTTCAGAACAATTATGTTCTGTTTGTGCTATACTGAATCTGTTACTCCATAAGCTGGTTTGAATCTTTCTGCTCCAGCCATACTGGTCTCCTGCTGTTCCTGAAGCATGCCAAACACCAATCCATCTTAGGGCTATTGTGCTGGGTTTTCCCTTTAAGTGAAAACAATGCTTTTCTCTGAATATCTGCATGATTTATGCTCACTTCATTCAGGTCTCTGCTCAGATATCACCACTACAAAGAATCACCATGTCAACCTTACATGATTTCATTTTTCTTTCTAGCATTCGACATATGTAACTCTTCTGTTCGTTTGGCTATTGTTTGGTTCTCCCACTAGAGGGCAGGACCATTATCCGTTTTGTTGACTGTTCAATTCCCAGCTCCTAGCACAATACCCTTTACATAGTAGACATTCAATATTTATGGAATGAATACATTGTAACCTAGCTCACCACCAAAAATAATTCTAAATACTTAAAATGTAGGGACTCTGTATTGGACTTTTGTAACATTCCTTCACATATTGCCATAGAGAGAGAAACATGCTGGCTTCAGAACAAGACTGACCCAAATCCCCAAATTCTCAATTATTTGAGTAAATCCCAGTAATTTTCTCTCTGAGCCTCAACCTCCCTATATGTATAAAATAAGCATAGTAATACCCATTATGATGGATAATCTTATATGTCAACTATGGTGCCCAGTTGTTTGTTCAAACACCAATATAGATGCTGCTGTGAAGGTATTTAGATGTGATTAACATTTAAATTAGTAGGATTTTGAGTAAAGCAGATTACCCTCCATAAAGCAAGTAGGCCTCATGTAATCAGTTGGCCTTCAGAGAAAAGACCGAGGTTTCCAGAAAGAAAAGTAATTCTGCCTCAAGACTGCAACGTAGAAACCCTGCTTGAGTTTCCAATCTGCAGATTCAGCTCTCAAGATTGCAATATCAACTCTTCTCTGAATTTCTAGCCTGTTGACCTGCTCTATAGATTCCAGACCTCCCAGCCCACATAACTGTATAAGCCAATTCCTTAAAATCTCTCTGTGTATGTACATGTGTGCGTTTAATTACATATATACAATACTATATTATTTTCTCTAAAAAACCTTGACTAATAAAGCAACTTTACTTGAAGTTAGGATTAAATGATGTAATATGTTTAAAACTCTTATTAAATAGTAACAATTATTACATGGTCAGTAAATTCTTTTGCCAAGTTATTATGTCTGCCACATGGCAAGTACTCAACAAGTATTTGATGAATGAATGAATAAGTGAATGCCAGAAAGTGGATGTCTTCTGAACACATATTATTCCAGATGATTGTAAAAGCCCATATAATTTGGTCAGCATTACTCATTTCTGAATATTATTTGAACCAGAATGTACAGCACATTGCATTCCCTGTGAAGGTCTAAAAATGTTATATACATATGCAACATTATTCACTGAAAATAGATCAGAATTTCTTTTATGATAGCAAAAGTACTGTTTGAAAATGAAAGGAAGTCGAATGCCAAATCGTTCCATGAATCTTCCAGCAGCTTTGAGATAAGCACAATTTTATGTATCTGAACATCCTTCATGAGAGTGTTTTGAACACTAGTTAGCTAATTGGGGCAATGTTCTTTGGGGGAAAAAACCGTATTATATAAATGTTGAGTATTTTAGTTCAGATGGAAATGGAAGGTGGTAAGGGATTACAAAAAATATTTGAGCATCTGGAAATTAAGCACACAAATTTTAATATATATATTCAGATGGTGCTCTGGTGAGAACGTATTATGTTCTAAAGGACTAAAAAAAAAAAATGAAACAGTTACTGCTGAATTTTAGCACATTTGTATGTATTATAAAGGTATTTTTGCAGTATATGAACTCAGAGGCCTATCAGATGCCCTCACATTTGGAGTCTCCTCAAAGAGATCAGTTAGAAGACTAACAGGTAGACCTATTTGGCAGGGAAGGCAGGGCAAACACCAGGAGAGTGGTAGCAGTCTTTAGTGCCAGCAAGTACATTCTCAAAGCTTCTCCCATATAGAGACATTTAAGGAGTGGATAAGAGGAGAAGGGAATGATTGAAAGGACAAAAACAGGACGCTGGAAACTAAATAGCTTATCCTCAGTTTTGCCTAGCTTCTCAGCCAGAGTCCTTCAAAAGAAAATTATATTTTTTAATTTTACTAGAATTCTTACTGTGGTAAAAATATCCTGAAATTCAGCAGTAATGCTTGTTATCTTCCAGCCTTAATTTAGACATGGCTCAACCCTGTTGCCCCTGTCTTTCCAATGCCCTGATTTGGTATTTCGGGATAAATGCTCTAAAGAGAAGATATTTGTTAATTGGGATCACAACCTGTCTAAATTAGGAAAACATCTCTACTAGTTTTATATCTGCTTACATCACAAATCTACTCACTGGAATAACCAGATCTTTAAGCATTTTTCAATATTTATTTTAAAATGTATTTTAACACTTTTATATTATACTGAGTTTGGCTTATTTCAACAGATGCTGAAGTCAGCCTTCCAGGTCCATGGGAACTTTAGCAATGATAGGGGAAATATCTGGATTTCAATTCCTTTCTCAGTATTTGAAGTCAAGCCAACTACAGTTATTGGCCTCTAGATATGTTCAAGCTGTCACATTTTTTTTTTCATGAAAGTTATACCAATTAGAACATCAATGAATTGGAGACATTTGAGAAAAAGAAAGAAGAGAATTAAAGGAACCAAAACCAGTTCATGGACTTCTGCCCCCTAGAATCCTAGGTTCCCTAAGTGACATAAAATACCTTGGGGCTATGTGTGGCTGGCAAAGTAAAATGACGTTTTGGACATAAATTGAATCCCTTGTTTGAAAATAAGTGAGTTTTTTCCTAGAGCAATAGAGCTTGCAAAAATGAAGCTCTGAAAGATGAACTATACTTAAAATTCACAGTACATGTGTGTCCCATGTCTTAGCATTCGGAAGTTTTCTCCCACATTGTCTCTTGGCATAATCAATGCTCATTTGACTTTTAGTGAGCCCATGGCTGGAAGTGCACCACTCAAGAGCTCACAGGGAATGGTAGAATTATTTAGGGAGAACCATTGAAAAATCTATTCTAATCCAAGTAATCTGTAATTTGAGGGATCCAATCTCTAAATGCATGCCAATTATTTAATTTTTCATGAAGCAAAATGGAATTTGTCACAAATGACTGTTGTGTTGATATGCACGGGTCTAAAGTGCATTCAAGCTAGTAACACCATTAAATAAGCTGATACAGCACTCAGCATGTGATTTTTTTTTAACGTAGAAATGAAAAGTTATCACCAAAGCTTTAAACAGAGAGGAACCTTCCCCCTGCCTCAGCCTCTCTAGTTTTATATCTCCAAGCTACATCAGTATGTGTAGACACCAGTATGCAGACCTTTTACAAAGCCTTTTAGACCTTTTTAGAAAAGACTTGCTGCCAAAATTAAAAATACTCACCAAACTAGATTTTAAAAAGAAAAATGCATGCTTTTACTAATTTATAGATTATTTTCAATTTTGATAAATTTCTGGTATATCATTCTCCACACAGCTCATCACTGTGCTCTTTCAAATGTTTCCCCTCCCAGAAATATACACATTTATATTTATATATAAGTGATATATATACACATGCATACATTCATATATATCAATATATCATATATCTATATATTATATATCTTACATATATCATATATATCTATATCTGATATATATCATATATATCTTATATATCTGATATATATCAGATATATCTTATATATCATATATATACTTGCCAAATTAGCATTCATTCCAAAACACGTGCAAAAAATTATCTTCATGAAGTATTTTGTGCTTCCAGGTGAGGTGACAGGTCTGACTTTAGAAACCTGTCACTAAAGAGCTAGATAGCTTGGCAGTGCTTCAGACTTGCCAGTTGAAAACATGTTGGCCACCGGTTTTATTGTCCAAATCTGCTCAGTGAAACCCCACAGCAACAACGGTCATTACCAATAAGTCTACTAGATATTGTCAGAGAATCTAGAGACCATAAATCGACATGCTGTATGCATAAATTTGCATATGGAATTAAAAAGGTCTTCATTCCAAGTGGGAAAATAAAGTGACTTCCTGAAAGCAGTGTTCTTATGTTTAATATCAACGGTCATGTCGGGACATCTGAAATTTACAACTTGTTGTGTCATGATGCTTTAGAAGGAGTGTGGTAGAAATGTCTGTGTTTGTAGTGACTGGCAGGGAATCAAGTTTCAGATCATGCATGCAGAAACAAATGGGAAGAAAATATCGCTGTTGTTCTCGTTGGCTCCTTTCGCTACAGGATAAACAAGATGAAAATTTTAATTTTATATGTTTAATCTGGTAACTACAGTTCAATATCGGTAGAGAAAGATTTGGACAAATCTGACTCGTACTGTTGTAATTTCTCTATCATACTGTTTTAATATAATAAGCAGTAATTGGGATGAAGTAAAGAAGTCAGAGAGAAATCACATCATGTTACAAGTATTTAGTAGATCCCTTTCCGACCCCACAGAGTTGTGAGAGATGCTCACGGAAGCTGAAAATAGCCAATGACTTGTTGTTCATACTACTCCTGAGAAAAAGTACATTAGGAAAAGGCTGGCTCTGGCTTTTTCAACACATAAACCTGATTATAGTAGTTTCACGTGCAAAAACAATTTAACGAAACTTCTGAAACACTCACGTCCCATGGGCTTCCCATATCTATGTAGAATTGTCAAATTAAATATTTTTGTATATTATTTATTTTCAGTCATTTTTAACTTAACCACACCAAGTGATATTGACATTTATAAAAATCTAACTTTTAATCATTAGGATGATTAAAAGTGACACATTGTATTAGTCAGGGTTCTCCAGAGATATATAGCCAATAGGAAGGATAGATAGATAAAATGAATGATTGATAGGTTAGTGGATGAGAAGAGGTTTAATAGGGTAATTGGTTCATGTGATTCTGGAGCCTGAGAAGTCCCAGTATAGGCCTCTGCAAGCTGGAGGACCGGGAAAGCTGGTAGCATGGCTCAGTTCAAGTCCAAAGGTCTTAGAACAAGTGATTCCAATGTTCCAATGGTGTAAATCTCAGTCCAGATCTAAAGGCCTAAGAAACTTAGGGCCTACTGGTGCACGTTCTGGAGTCGAAAATCCCCAAATCCTGCAGTCCTGATGTTCAAGGACAGGGGAAGAAGGGTATCCCAGTTCTAGAAAAGAGAAATTTCATGTTTTCTCTTCTTTTTGTTCTGTCTGGGACCTTAGCCAATTGGATAGTGCTAGCTTACATTGAACGAGGGAAGATCTTCCTTATGTAGTTCACTGATTTGAATGTTAGTATCTTCTGGAACACCCTCACAGGCATACCCCAAAATAATGCTTTACCAGTTATCAGGGTATATCTTAATTCAGTCAAATTGACACCTAAAATGTACCATCACACATATTATTCTAAACAATGCCCTATATTCTTTTTTTATATTGTAACTATAGACTTTTATTTGGTCATTTAACACATACTTATTGAAAATGAAGTATGATCAAGGCATTGTGAAAAGCTTTGGGAATACAAAGACTATTCTCCCTAAGTATTTCAAAAATCTTAGTGCTTATAACAAACTGTAAATCCAGTTTGTCACAATATTCCTCATAACTCCTGTTGCATATTTCATGGAAAGGCTGTGTATACGATGTCAACAGCCCCAGTAGGAAAATCAGTGGAACTGAGTTAGAATACTGGCTCTGCTTCTGCTGAGTGGCCTTGGATAAGACAGAGAAGAGTCAAACTTTTAAACTCATTTATGAAATAGAGATGTAATGATACCTATCACTTGGGGTTATTGTAAGAATGGAATGAATTGGGATTATGTCAAGTGTCTAAGAGTGGCCTGTATTGAGATGACATTATACACAGTAGCTATTTTCAAAGAATTAATGGTCAAATGAGGCAGCTCTTTCTTTTTTCAACAGTTTTAGCTGTCACATAGTTCTGAAATCTGCCTCCCTGTAAATTCCAACCATCGGAACTCATTATGCTCACTGGAGCAGATAAGCTTAATTCCTTCTTCCACATGAACACCCTTAAGATATCAGGACAGTTTCCAGCCATCTACATTTTTTCCCAACTGAGCAACTGCAATGAACTTTTGTT